TACTCCATTTCTTACAGCGCAGCGTGCCAACAGCAAGGTGGTGATCGGTTGATAGCTCTGCGCCTCTTTTGACACGAACATCCATTTCTGAGCGTCTTAGGTCAGAGGATGCGATTATCAAGTCGATAATCTACTTCTGTGCACAAGCTTCCCGGTACCAGGTGTGTTGATGCACTTTTCAATGGTCGAAGAAGGTGTTCATAATGGACAATCTGTTGTTTGCACAAAACCCAACAACTTCATGCCGTTATTGTTGAGGTCGCTAGGGCCATTTTTCCCAATCATGTCGTTCCACTTTTCAACGTCTACTCCGACGTGCGCATTAAAATCGCCCATCAATATGAATGACTAAGTATTCGGCACTTCAGACAGAGCACAGTGCACCTCGTCAAGAAAGGTCTCATTTTCTCGTTCCAAATTGGGCGCCTAGACCTGTACCAAGGTTATCGATTTAGCCTGTTGTAGCTTCAGTCGGAGGATTACCACCCTTCCGCTGATGGGCTTCCAGTTGATTATTCCATGGGCAGGGTTGGGTTCTACCGGAACCTATATATATATGCTTTGTGTAGCATGGAATACCGTGTGGTATGTAATTAACGCACTCTCTCTTCATAATGTCTTAGCAATGCGTATTGCATGTTTTGCACATAGCGTAGTGAGATGTACTGCAATTTAAATAATATGTTGTATTTTATGCTTTGTCCAAAGGAAATGATACTACACATATTCAGCATTCGATAAATGTATGTATGCCGTTATACGTATATATTGTTATATGCTAGTTTCACATATTCATTCTAAATTAGCATGCCAGTTTAGTGTTACAACTATGTTATGTATGCGAAGTACATGAACATTAAATTTCTTGTTCCTCTGGTATGCGATTTTCAGTGTATACTTTTTACCGGTCGAAATTCTATTTACAGTATGTTGGTAGTGCCTGATAATCTCTTATCACAGTAACAGTATTTGGATTCAGATATGTAAAATTTTTTGAAATGATCTGCGTAAGGGATGAACCTTATAAGCCAATAAAATATCTGTGTGATCATTCTTAGTCATTTAACACTAACGTGCTTTCAGATTTGTCAATCAGCTCAAAATGTGCGATGTTTACAGAAAACTCAAAAATAGAGTCATTGTCTAAAGTTCTATGTAACCGG